TAGCAAAACTTATATTCTGGAACAATAAACTTGTAGAAACTGAAGTATAACTTTCTGGAATTTTTCACGAATTTTTGAACCTAAAATCCAATTTTAACAACTAATTGATAATTTTCCCAAATTTAACTAGAAAATGCAAAAAGCAACTAAAATTATTTTAAATTCGTTCTAAATTCTATATTGACTACTGGGAGTGATATTACTGTGAATTAAACTAGAATTAGGACAGAAACTATTTTTTTTTTCTTTTTGAGTATTTAATTTAAATTATGCAATAATAACAACTAAATGCCGGAATTAATTAAAATTTACTTCTACTTTGTAAAAATTAACTTTGTTTTGATAAATAACTACCTTGAGGCTATTAAACAACTATATAATTAATTCGAATGGATTTAATGTCAACAACTATTTTATTCAAATTTAAGAAGAAAATGCGAAATAGTGGAATAATTTTCTGAAAATTTTAGAAGCACAGATAGAAAAAACTAAGTACAGATTCAGATTCTACTCATTGAAAGGATGAAAATACATATAAAGGACTCACAATTTGGAGCTAAAATGAGAAAGATATGAAAGATTGAAGTTGAAGGTGCAACAATGGTGGAAATCCGAGCTTTGAGGAGGAAGAAGACGCCCTTTTTTATCTGATTTGGGCTTGAAATTGGTGTGTTTGAGTTCAGCAAAAATCGGGCAATTTATAGGAAAAATTTCCCCGAAGGCGGCCAACCAGGCGGCCGCCTTCCGCCTCTCTCCGGCCGCCTTCCGTCCTCGTCGCCGACAGCGGTCGGTGGCCGGTCTCCGTCAGCCGTAGGCGGCCACAGAGGGCGGCCGCCTTCCGCCACAAATGGCCGCCTGCCGTCTTGTCGTTGGCAGATCGGATCCTGGCGGATCCCGGCGGATCCCGGCCGCCGCAGGCGGTCCAGCAGGCGGCCGCCTGCCGTCCTGTCTGGCCGCCTGCCGTCCTGTCTGGCCGACCGGTGGTTGGTTTCGTCCCCTTGTGCCGCAGGCGGCCACCGAGGGCGGCCGCCTTCTTCCTCGTGTCGGCAGCCTTCGGTCTTTTCCTGGTCCCGAGTCAAAGCGAGGTCCACTTCTGATTTTTCCCGTAGGCGGCCAACCAGGCGGCCATTTTGGGCGCCTATTTGGGCGCCTTCTGCCACTTTTGTCTGGCAGATGCGGCTTTTCCTGCTCTTCAACTTTGTCTTCTGAATCACCTTGATAAAATGCTTGCTTCTTCCGGTATAAATGCATTTGTCACTCAAATTGACTCATTTTGTGCTCAATTGACCCGAAATCCCGGGAAACATATTATGAATGTGATTTTCACCTGATTTAATGAAACTTGAACCAAAATATATAAAACATGCCTTTTCTTTCTATTTTCAATCAAAAATCGCTTAAATTTGATAAGAAAAATAAGTACAAAAATGGACTTATCAGTACCTAACTTTAATTTATAAAAACATTACGAACATGGTAGAATAGATGTGCTTTTTAAAACAACGAACACGGTATGGTAGTAGGAAGACATGCGGGTGGAGTTTTGGAAGCTGGATTGTTTTTCAGTTAGAATTATATAAGTGTACACATATAAATGTTGCAAACACATTGTAAACAATGTGCATAGTATTTAAAAAGGATGACTTTATTATGGTCTTGCCACGTGCCAACTTTTTCTATGAAGGATGTTACAACATGTCATCAATTCCTTCATAGAGTTCTCTAAGAGTTTGCTTTAGGGGCGGGCAAGAATCCCGGTCCCGTTGTCCCATTCCGGTATATCCCGAAACCGTACCGGTGTTGTCCCGTTCCGTTTGGGTCTCATTGATTTTGTCCCGCACCGGTCCCGTACCGGTTTAAAACGGGACGGGACCGGGACATTGGAAGGTTATCCCGAACCGTCCCGTTGTCCCGTTTGTAATAACTATATAGATTTTGTAACATGTGACTAGTGTGTAATGTCAACTCAAAAAATAAATGGTAACATGTTTTTAGTTCTTCAAGCCCAATTTTTAAATTAAAAATAATACCTAACATGAATATTTACTAGCATAGATTTTTATCCCACTTTATATATCTACATATGAGTATCTCACAGCTAGAACACATGATTTTGAATAAACTAATTCATTTTTGCTTTGTTTTAAATTTAAATTTCAAATTTTGCTAAATCTAACTAAAATCTAATACGTAGTAGCTTTTAGCTTGTGATGAACATCAATTAACTTTTAAAATGTTAATATATTGGTGCATGATACTTTAGAAATGCTAATATATATTAATTACAAATGATTATTTTTTGTTAGTTTGGGACGTCACGAACCGTCCCAAACCGTTCTGAACCATCCCGGTCCCGATTTAAATGGGACAAGACTAGGACAAAGGCTTGTCCCGTACCGTCCCGTCCCGTTATTATTAATTGGGACGGGACCGGGATAACCCTAATCCCGAACCGTCCCGACCCATGCCCACCCCTAGTTTGCTTTATTATATTAATATAGATAGATATAGATATAGATATGATCAAATTAATTAATACTACTTTCATCCTTTTTATTTAGTCATTTTTTACTTTCTCAGTCAAAGATGATAAACTTTGATCCATTATTTTAACTAATATATTTATGTAAAACTTAATAAATTTATACTTTTATGATAATATTTTTAACAAATACATATATATGTCAAGTACTTTGTGGTCTTATGACATCACTGTGACACTTTCAAAGAGGAGATCACGCGTTCGAATCTCATCCCAGTTCAAGGATGTTAGCCTTAACATAGAACATATACTATAATAAGTTAGGAAGCTTTGTCCCAAAAAACAAATATATATTGGTCAAAGTTTGACCCCATTTACTTAAACAGTCAAATTTGACTAAATATAAAAGGACAGAATGAGTATCTTAATAATCTCATGCTCTATTTCTTTTCTATTTTTTTTGGAGTTTTTTTTATCAGATTCATGCTAATTAAATAAATAAATTCCAGAATACTAATGAGTTAAAAATAATTTCCAAAATACTGGTTGAGTTAACCGCGGTTAAGAAAAGCCGCCACTTGAAGTGGCAGTTCTTCTGCCCACTACAAAAACTGCCAGTCCAAGTGGCGGCTCTTCTACACAGTAAATCCAACCACAACTCATTCAATCGAAAAAACAAAAAACATGCTCCTTACAGTCCAGTCAACTCAGAAAAATCAAAACAGCTGGTCTTTATAGTCAATATAGGTTGCTAAAAACAAAACATATCTGAGACACAAAACGAATCAATGGAACAACATTGGATCACAATACTAGAATTATCACATGAATTTGATAATAAATCCAGTGTTTCAGAAAATAATTCGATCAGCTAGTTCATGTTTCACACAATAATGTAAAGTAAAAATATCAGAAAGTCAATATGATCATCATCATAAAGCTCATGTGGTTGTGGTTGTGGTTGTGGTTGTGCCTGTGATCGTGGGCGTCTGTGCCTGTTAGATGGCTGAAGAACCACTCTATCACGTCGTAATGCCTGGGAAGACCCCACTATGAACGTAGATGTCCTGGAATACTAAGAGACGGCCACATATCCATAGTCTACTCGGCCCAATACATCAGCACACAGTGCAGCAATGCCCGCGCATTCCTCATGATATCCATGTACATCTACTCCTCATCAAGTACAACAGTCGCTCTGTCATGGATAGTATGCAAAACCCGTGTCTGTAATGAAAGCATGGTTATTAGTGATAAACACATGAATGAATGAATGATTAAATAAATAAATAAATAAATAAATAAATAAATAAATAAATAAATAAATAAATAAATATATAAATAAAGTGATTTATATGAATATATTGTGTACCATCATATGAAGAGCGACTGAGCTAGGCTGGTAATGAGCGGTTTGTAGATGAAAACTGGGAGAGATAAACACCTATGTGATGGTGTGATACCATCTCATGTTATCTGCAGAGACCTTGGGAACCACTGGTGGAGTCTCGTGCACTATATACTCTCTCATCCCACATGGTGATTGATAGACTGAATATGGTGCATCCCATAATCTTTGGTGTGCTTCTCTCGTCTGTCGATCTTGTGTAAGTCCACAGAAGTATCACAAGGTGCGCGAATAATGTGCCGCAACCCGAACTATCGTAGTACGCGATCGGGAAAATGATGTCCCACTACATCAAAACAAATCAAGGGCACGCATGCTCGCCATGTCTCAGTGTGCTCTCGGCCAACAGGAGGCAACTGTTAAAGAATCTCATGAGTGTCTGACATCCACGTCATCTATAATACAAAATATTATGACATCATAGTTTACAAAAACGTAAAACAAAGTACATATACTTAATGATAAACATGGTATACGGTAATCCAATATAGTTCCATTGATTCGTTTTGTTCTCAGATATGTCTTGCTTTTTAGCAACATATTAAACTTGTACGGAGTAACAAATACTCCCTCCGTCACGCTAAGATTGTCCCAGACACTATTCACTTGGTCAACATAAATAACTCTTAATCTCTTATTTTATATACTCCCTCCGTCCCCTTTTAAATGTCTCGGAAGAGGGTGGCACGAGTTTTATGAAAAGTGGATTTGTGTGGTTGATATTAATTGATAAAGTAAGAATAAAGTAAGAATGATTTTGAGTCACACAAACTTTACCAAATAAGGTATGAGACAATTAAATAGGGACATCCCAATATGGTAAAACGAGGCATTTAAAAGGGGACGAAAGGAGTATCAAATTTTTACTAAATTTGATTCTCGTTTTTGCGACTTTGTATTAATGTAGTTTCTGAATATGTAATTTTTTTCTAAAAAAATTTAAGTGCGAACAGGGATATGTTTGGTTTATCGATCAAACATCTTAAATCAAATTGTCCTAGGACGAAGGTTGTAATCGGAAGTACTCTGTAGTCTTTAGGCCCAAATTTGGGATAATTTGTGGGGGCAAACTCTTTAACCCCTATAGTTTCTCAAATTTGCATATATAGCCCTAAATAAAGCAGTAGCTGAGTGGCTGGGCAAGCCGATCAGCAGAATTTTGTGGTTTTCTGTTCAGTCTCATTGTTCCTGGTTAGGTCGGAATTAACTGAAACAGATCTCCGGCGACAGGGATCATGATAACTCAGGCTAAACTCGTCGAGCAACTCAGAGATTACCAGATCAGATCACAGCACAAGTGCCCTGCTCTTACTATCTTCTCCCCTAAACCATTCCTCACCACCTGGTATTTTCTCTCTCAATAAATTCATGAACGAATCTTCTTCTCCTTTTCTAAGAAATTTTCTCTGGATATTGTTGAGGCGTTTCATAGTTATCTCTTTTTCTTAAATGCGTAAAGGGACGCCATTGTTTATATTTGTGGATGCATTTTGTGCCTGATGATTTTCCTGGAGAATATTATACCGACTGCAGTGATTTTTCGTATTAATGTTTCATTGATTGGTCTCCTGTTACTGTTTTTTTAGGCCTGAAATTTATACTTTCTTTAAATATGCAGTCTTCTCTGTGCATTATGATTGCATTGGCTGCTAGAATAGCAGAATATGTCCAGAATGCTGAATTCCGAATTAGGGTTAAGATGTAAAGAGCTTAATTTTGAATGAATTATGCTTATTCTTTGGCTCAGTGCAATGATGGCATTTGTGGAATTGAATTGTCTTTGTTGGGACTATAAAATATAAAAGTGTCTTTGATGCTATGGTAATTTGTAATTTCTCCCTGTTTTCTCAAACTTTTGTGTAATTTGAATCATCATTACTCTGGTTCTTGATTAACTAGGTTATTAAACTTATTCATCTGTTAAATATTCCTATTTTTTAACTTTCAGAGGGATTAATTACCATGCGTTTTTCTAATGCTGCAGTATGTTAAGTTGCTTATACATGTCCCAATATCTATAAATTTATACCTCAAGCGGCATATTGTGCTCTATACCTTCTTATTACCCAAATCATATGCTACCACACAAAAATCAATCATCTCTCAGTATTGGTTATGTATATAGTCCAGAATCCCATCTTATTATGAGCTTTTTAACATCATTTATATGTGTTGGTTGCTATTACGTGGGCTTATTTGACAAATTTTCTTTCTTTTCTATATCATTTCTATAGGGCTGATGTTGCGGTTGCCGTTGTGTGGGCCCTTCTATTTATTGTGTTTGTAGTATCATCATACTTCGCCCTTCGATCAGGGCATTACTGGATTTCTCTTCTCATTTTATGTCTATGTGTCTCACTCCAAGTTCGTCTGAGAATTTTGAGACAGGCGAATGCAAGGAAGAGAGTTAGGCTTTTACCTTTGTCCATGTGAAGGTTTTATCCACTTGACCATTCCTTTCTATTATACTCAGCTTATATCTCAAAATACGAGGTTAAAAGGAAAGGATCACTTATAGGTAGGATTCATAATTGTAGATTTTTTTTGTTAGGGCAAGTATGTTTTGTTTCATTGGGGAAGAATGAGTATAGTTGTAATCTGGGAAACTACAGCATATATCCTGTGACTGTCCACATTAGTAATGTATTTAGGTGAGATAAGTTCTCTAAGTTTGTGATTTTTTGACGATATGCAATGGGCATTCATACTTGTTTCTTTTTCATGACAAGGGGTTGAGACTTGAGAGAATGCTTTGTAATTTTTGCTCATTGTATCTTTGGAGAATGGTATACTCTCATGGTACCACCACTAGGGACAGTCCACATATGTTCACACACTACTTTTCTTGACTCATGATTCTCACAAACCAAGAATGCTACCTCATCTGTGAGGCCTCTTTGAGGGCATGTTCTTTAAGTACATGGAATTAAGAGGTGTTAAGGACTTGACCTGCAGTGATGCCTCAAAAAGAGTAGAGATTCGTATCCTCGAAGTTCATATTACAAACTATTGATCCTTGAACTAGGATTGATTGACTGGGAAAAGATATCCCTTCAATCCTTTTTGGTAAGATATATTTTTCTTTTTGAATTGTCTAAAAATATGATCAATTAAATACTCCGTAGAGAACAACTACCTTTTTTTACTTTTCTTCTGTATTCCTATATTTATCTTTTCTTTTTATTTTACTTTTTGTGCACTCATACTACACTTTTTTAAAGGTTGCAATTGAAAAAAAAAACTTTGTTTTCTTAAAAATGATGGCACACTCATGTGTATATTAGATTGTGAAATGGATGAGGTTCACCGAATAGTCATCCTTCCATATGCCAACAAATCTACTTGTTCACATCATTTTCCTGGTGAGTGGTGAAGATGCACCATGGACCTAGGTTTAAACGCTTAATATTAATTTCCCCCTGTTTGTGTTGCATTTTTTTTGTAAATGTTTCTTAATTTATATGAAGCTGAGATTGAAATTTATTGCAGGAACGTATACGTTCATTAATAGCAAACATAAAACTCATGTCTTGAACAATGAACAAGTAAGCTTAATTGGTGAACTCATCAAACAATATTCATATGTGAAAGGCGATGTTGGGTTAGATTGGATAATTCCGTAAAATGATGTCCACATTTCTGGATTTTAATACCAGATAGGCAGATACCCATCCCGAAGTGTTATTTGGACTTCAAATCCATCCGCCAACCAATTGATTGTGCTATCAATTTGCAAGGGTAGTTCAACATTGGCAAAGTAAAAAGTTGGATTGAGATATAAGGTTCAACTAGTATTACACGGGATGTAATATACAATATTAAAAATGTGAATTACAAATGTATTTAAAAATTATATAATTATTTGTCACATGAATAAGAGAAGCCATAATGAATGTTATAATTATAGACCGAGTAAAATGACCTATATTACACATCTGTTACATTCACACGTGTGTTGCACATGAATACATGATGCATGATGCAATTATAAATTTTTTTCTGATGATATGAAAATATGATGGTAAATATTATAATTCACAAAAGGCTGGTAAAGCGGATATCAATATATTATCCATACAAATTGTTCATATTATGCATTCACATTATATGTCCTTACCTTCATTCTTAACTTGACTTTTCAAATTAGAGTAATGCGTATGATCAACATTTCTAATGTCTTAAAATGTTAAATTGCGTAAGCAAATTAAGAATGAGAATTGAATGTATAGCACTTTTGGTTCAAGATATGCCATTATTATTGAACTTGTTTTAACGAATGTTATTTGAAAGCATAAAATAAAGTAAATATAGAATAGATGTGATATACTGATATGACTTAAAACATGGCAATTTAAAATGATTTAATACATGTATCAATTCTCTTATTGTAGCATGTTCATTCTTTTTCAATGTACTCATTGCTCGTGCATTCTTTTTCCACTTCCATTTCTTTGAGATGTCCTAATTGGGGGTGACCATATCAATTCTTGATTGGGACTTTATCGGTTTCGATTCAGTTCGATTTGAATTGAAAGAATTATTACCAAACAAAAACCAAACTATATATATTTCAGTTTGGTTTGATTTAGATTTATTATTTTTTAATAACATACGAGTATGAGGGGCTTGTTGAATTTCTTTAATTCAATTCGGTTTTATTCTTTTATCGGTTTTGAGGCAATACGGTTTAATACGATTTGGAAAAAAATACTACCAAACTCAAGTCAAATTGTATATAGCCCGGTTTCGATTCGGTTTAATTCAATTCAGTACGGTTCGGTTAAACCAAACATATATGCACATATATTCTCAACATATATGCAAACATTTTTGGGCCGTTCCCAAAAATACTCTCCACTTTCCCTTTTTGGTCCATTTGTGTGGCTCACATTCATTTTACGTTTTTTTACACAATCACAACCATACATTTCCACTTTATTCTATTTTCTTAATAAGCGTGCCAAGTCTAAAAGTGTGAACTTTATGTACATTACAAACTTTTAAGCGTGAATGTATTAGATAATAAGATAGGAGTATATAATTACAACCAACATATCATTATCAAGCAACCCACACACTAAAACACAAACATAACAATACTTAAAAAAAATCTCACCATGTGGGGCAATGACATTAGAATTAATCGGAATAATCAAGTTATAGGACTTATAGGAAAGACAGTTTTTTGACCGTATGAAGCATTTTACAAAACAGTATTTCTAATTTTTTATTCTTGAATGACAAACCAAAATCAGGACCACTTTAGTGACCGTAAGTGACAATTCTGATTCTAAATAAACCAACTTGTAACTATCTTGATAATGGAACTATCTGCCTGATCTGGCTTGGGTGCGAAATAGGGCCAAATCTATTCCTAATGACAACCAGTCATTATAAAATTGTATTCCGTATAATAGAAATCCGTAGTGCAAAATTTATCCCATATTAAATAGTGATGCATTTATCTAGAATATTCTATGTAGAAAAGGCTAGAGATGTTCTATAGAAATATAACTACAAGTATTCTAGAGAATTCTCCACTAGAGAATTCTTATGTAAAATCTATATTAATTAGACATGTTTGTAGAATACTCTAGAATATAACATTTAATAAGGATCTAGAATGATCCTCTAGCACCTATAAATAGGACTCATTGTACTCATTTGCTTACCAAGCAAACCAAGAAACATCAATACAATATATCTTTTCTAGAGACAAGAGCTCTACTCTAAAACACCTCCTCTACACTACACCTCACTAAAATCACTTAACATATTCATATACCAACAAACTCTTCTATTTCTAACAAGTGGTATCAGAGCCTGTTCGATCACAAGCGGGCGTTATGGCGACATCAAGCTTCTCGGTATCGACTCCAATGTTCAACGGAGAAAGCTACGACTATTGGAGTGTCCGTATGAAGACTTGCCTAGAATCACATGATCTTTGGGATATTGTTGAAGAAGGAATCATCACTCCGGAAAAAGGAAGCGACGACGCATCAACTTCCGAGGTATGTAAGAAACAAAAGCAGCAAAATGCTAGAGCTCTCTATCTTCTTCAACAATCCGTTAGTGATACCATTTTCCCGAGAATAATTCGTGCTACTACGGCAAAAGAAGCTTGGGATATTCTTAAGGAGGAATTTCAAGGAAATGAGAAAGTTAGAACTATTAAATTACAAAGTTTAAGAAGAGAGTTCGAAAATTTGAAGATGAGAGATTCTGAAATGGCAAAAGATTATTTCTCTCGGGTTATACATATAGTCAACGAAATGAGAACTCTTGAAGAAAACATAACCGACGAGAAAATAATCCAAAAGGTCTTAATCAGTCTCCCTGAAAAATATGACCCTGTAGTGTCGGCTATTGAGGAGTCAAAAGATCTATCAAAAATGTCCATCACTGAATTAATGGGGTCACTAGAAGCACGTGAGCACAGGCTTAACAGGCGACATGAAAGTTCATTAGAAAGTGCCTTCCAATCTAAGCTCAACATTAAAAGGAATGACTCAAGAAATGGTGGAAACTTTAAATCTCATAAATATGGGAATTCTAGCAACAAGGAGAGGAAGACAAACTTTCCACCATGCAAAATATGCAAGAAGACTAACCACTTAGAGAAAGATTGCTACCATCGAGGAAAGCCACAATGCAAAAATTGCAAGAGGTTCGGGCATGAAGAAAAAGATTGCAGAGATAGAAGAAATCATCAGGCCAACTATTCTGAAGATTTCAAGGAGAAGGAGTACATGTTCTATGCATGTCACTCGGCAATCGAAGCGAAAGAAGAAGAGTGGTACATCGATAGCGGGTGCAGCAACCACATGACATCCAACGAGACCATCTTCCATGAGTTGGATACTTCTATCAAGACAAAGGTCAAGATGGGCAATGGCGAATTGGTGGAGGCAAAAGGGAAAGGTACCATTGTCATAGATACAAAGAAAGGTACGCGCTATATTAGAAACGTTCTCCTAGTGCCACGCCTTGCACAAAATCTACTAAGTGTTGGCCAAATGATGGAAAGTGGATATGCCCTACATTTTGAGAAAAATTCTTGTCGAATTTATGACAAGAAAAATAACCAAGAAATTGCTGAAGTGAAAATGGGAAATAATAGAAACTTTCCCATTCAATGGCAATACCCACAAAAAGCAATGGTAGCTCAACTAAGTGATACGAGTCTATGGCATCGAAGATTTGGGCACTTCAATCTCAATGCCTTGAGATTACTACATCAAAAGAATATGATGAGAGACATGCCTCTACTGGATGAAAAAGAAGGAGTATGTGAAGGATGTATGGTTGGGAAGCAGCACAGGCAACCATTTCCAACAGAGAAGACATGGAGAGCAAAACAGATACTAGAGCTTGTCCACACCGATGTCTGCGGTCCAATGCGCACGCCTTCAGTTTCCAAGAACAGGTACTTCATACTCTTCATCGATGATTACTCAAGGATGACATGGGTGTATTTCTTTCAAGAAAAATCCGAAGTTTTTAGAATATTCAAGAGATTCAAGAACTTCGTGGAGAAACAAAGTGGTCATCAAATCAAGAAGTTGAGAAGCGATCGAGGTACCGAATATAACTCAAAAGAATTTGATCAGTTCTGTGAAGATGAAGGCATGGAGCATCAACTAACAGTAGCATACACTCCACAACAAAATGGGGTATCCGAAAGGAAGAACCGCACAGTCATGGAGATGGCAAGATCAATGTTAGCTGAAAAAGGAATGCCTA